TTTGAATTGCTGTTGTTTCCGGGAACTAATGCCTTTCTGTTAGTACACAGAGATGTGAAAAACTCTGGTAGTGAGTTTTATCTTTTAAAAGCTCTCAGTGGTGTGTTCGGGAAGGAGGTCTTGGACTACTGCGTGGTATTATTTATAGATGAGGCTAGGCATGATGATCCAAGAAAGAACACCTGTTTGAAGATGTGTGGAGGCAGATACCACATTTTACAGAACACTGACGAAAGTCTTAATCTGTTATTTAAAAAAACAGAGGCAATGACACAGTGGAAAAGCAGCAATTTTTTCACAAATAATTGGGAATTTTTCAGAAATGCTGAAAATTATTTTGAAGCTGAGTATAAGAAAAAGGAGAATACACTAAGGATAGAATTGGCAGAAAATAAAGAAAGTGTTGAAAATCTAAAGAAGGAAATTAAAGATATGAAAGAACTAGATGCAAAGAAAGATACAGAATTCAATGAGAGAATCAAAGATGAGCTAAATAAACTGGCTGAGTCAAAAGACAGAGAAACAAAGCTACGCAGTGAGTTGGCTGCTCTCAAAAGCAGTGAAAACCAGAAGGAGGAGAACTTCCAGAAGCTAAAAGAAGAGCTGACCATTTACAAAAAAAGAGAGAATGAGTTAAGCAGTGAGTTGGTTGCTCTCAAAAGCAGTGAAAACCAGACAAAGGAGAAGCTAAAACAAGAGATGATCATTCACAAAGACAGAGAGAGACACTTAAATGATGACAAAATTAAACTTCAGAGAGACAAAGAGAAACTTCAGAGAGAAGTGGAACAGCTCAAGGACAATAAAAAACAGTAATCTGACTGCAGCAAAAGTTAAAGAAGTGTTTCTACTTTCCAAATTACAATCAGAATGTAATGTGATCCAGAGAGAGGAAGAAGTACGAGTCAAAGAAAAAGAGCTGCATGAGAAAGAGAGAGAACTGGATAGAAGAGAGAGAAATCTGGATGAACGAGAGAAGCAGCTGGAGATCAGAGAGAGAGAAGTGAGACAGAGATCCTGGATCTAGTGAACATTGAAGGAGTGGAATCCTGGATTCATCACGGCCTTCATAAAATATATTAATTATCCTTTTGCATGATTATTGATCAAGTTCTTAATCAGTATTTAACTTCATAGATTGCTAGTTGATTGAATAAAATTATTATTTACCATACACCAGTGAGTAGACATTGAAAATATATGTGTATAAATAACTTACTCTCCCTTAGTGAGAAGTTGGAATGTGTTACTAGGTTTTTTTTAGGAGTTTTTATTCTCTCCATTTAGAGTCACTGTGACTGCCCAAGTTTGGCTGTCCAGGTTCAGATTCAGGGCCGAACCAGCCAACCTTGAAGTAGATAAGTGTTTTGTGCGCATGTGTGTTGGTATCTGTCTGTGCAGGGCTCGTCTCCAGGGAGATGTGGAGACGGCACCCGAGGAGTAAGCATTCATATGGAGATCTGTCGTCAGCCGAATGACCCGTTACGTCTGACCCCTGATCGCTTGTCACCTAAATAATCACCAGGAGATCTGTTTTGAAACTAGACATCCATGTGTGGAGATTTTCTAAGTTTATCTATGTTTTAGCCAATCAGAATTCTTCCTACCTATGCTTTGATGTAATTAGCAATCTCTGTTAGAGTAGAATTGGTGGTGTCTTGAGCATGTACGCAGAGCGGCCTACGAACTCCTTGAGAGTATTGAAGCTGATTTCTGCTGATGAAACTCAGCATTTTTAAATTTTTCTTCAATTGACTTCATCTCTGACTCCTGGTCTTCATTCATCATACCTGGTCCTTGGGTTTTAACTGTAAATTCCCCTACACTCTTAAGAAAAATGGTTCTAAACAGTACCAGAAAAGGGTTCTTCAGCTTGTAACAACAGCAGAACCCTTTTTGGTGCTAAATAGAACCCTTTTTATAAGGTTCCATAAAGAACCTTGCTTTGAAAGTGCTATTGTGACGTCCCAGTCTACGTTGGGCGTGAGTGTTTGGTTGTGTGTGATTTTTAGGTGCCATGTGGAGGGGGCGTGGCCGACACACCTGACACACAGTTAAATGCCTCTGAGACTGT